GTTTGTATATATTATATGGTATATAATAAATAATATATAACATAATATTTAATATATATATATATATAGTCGATATATAACATTTAGTATATATATGTATGTATACATATATACCTGTATATACATACACACACACACATATATATATATATATATATATATTGTATACATATATCGAAGGAGTGCTGAGGATGTTACATATGAATATCTACCGAATGTATACCATAGTTCGAAGTTTGTGCACAGGTACTCATTCAGACACATTCAATTTCGAAAACTCTATGCAGGCAATAGATCCCACTCAATTCTGGTTCACCGAATCGAACAACTTTACTAGAGGAGGCATCGAAAACAATTATTCCATGGTATGTTGAGGTACACTTTACACATTTTTTTTTCTCATTTTGGTTGGTGAATAGAGATCCGCGTCATAGTTTCAGTTGAAGCACATGTTACGTTAAATATCGCATCAATTGGTCTTCAGCATACACTGGGCTTCTTCGTATGCTTTAGGTTTATAATTTTCTCGGCCTTGTATATATATATATATATCACCGCTCGTGTTTACATATCAGCCATTTCAGTATGTCAGTGCGTCATCGTAGCAAAACTCTGTACAACCATCACTCATCTGCCTTGCGCCGTGTGCGTTTTCCTCAACAGAAAGTCGTTGAGTGTTTGTACGACTTGCTCGTGCGCACCCCAATCATCAATCAGAAGTTTCAGTGACATTCTTCTGATCACAGACGGCACTTGTGGCTCTGCATGCGGTGTGTAGTGTATCTTCATGGATTCGCTCGGCTAATTTGTCCAATTTTTCGATGAGTCGCAATAGCTCGTGTGATATCCAATTTCATTGTTGTATTGTTGTCATGCAACTGAGTCTGATATTTCTTCCTCATTGTGATGCTGGACTCTATTCTTGCAGGTCAATTCATCAACGCAATGCAGGCCATCGGCAATGGCGCATATCCGGATCTGCAACCATTCAATGTACGCATCATGTATATTCATTGCATTTGATCGCAGTCTATTTTTTAGTTGTATCTGTGACGAGAAACTGTATAATTATGTTAGTCTGTATTCCTCTTTATTAAGAAACCAGAATGTGAGCACTGTGCCCTAGTCACCCTTTTCATTGCCTGATTAAAAACACTCAGCATTGCGTTTATATCACGTCTGTGTCATGTTTTTGAATTTTTTTAACAAAATATACAGTCGACGATCGTAGGATTTGGAGGTTTTGTTGATGAGCCTCTGTCCATGAATGCTTTTGAAGGAGGGAATGTACTTTCAGACGAGGACTTCTTGTTTGATCTATACGTTAATGGCGCCATACTCGGTCTGTAATTGATAAGTTCATGGCCCAAATCAATTCATAAATGACCATTTTGTGTATTCTTGAGTAGCTTCATGCATTTTAAGTGTTGGTTCGGACTGATGCTCGTAACCCCTTGATTTTGAGACTAAGAACTGCAATTGTCGGTGTCTACGAAGTTTCTTAGGTTTACTGTTCGACGTATTCTATTACACCCCTAACTGAAACGTCTGACTTCGACGGCACAGGTCCTTTATACACCGGAATTGGCCCAGATAAGGAGGTGCTTGCAGAACAGTATAAAAAGATCTTGCAAGGTGTCCCCATTCCGTATAATAATGGGCTGTTGATACGATTCAATTACCGTGAGAGCTACCTTAATGGAGCTGGGGAGGCTGCTTTGCCAACAGTAAGTATTGACAGCCGGTTTTAGGCACCACCATAGATAATTCGGAGTATCTGATTTGTAGTAGTTTAAGTGCAATTCAAGTGGAAATTGATTCATTAGGCATCCGCAGTAGACAGTGCCTTTTCCCTCTCAATTCGCCCCAGTACCACATTCGGAGAGCGCATAAGATATAGCCTTTACGATTCAAATATTAAACATGAGGGGGGTTTCTTTTGGGGAAAACTATTTCAGGAATTCTATCAGAAACCAACCACCGTGCACCTCGAAGAGTGGCATCCGCTCCTGTCATCCACCGCCTATGGAATGTTTAATGAGGGAGTGAACAGCTTGTACACACGTATGGCAGCCGGTGACCTAACTACCAACGCGGTGCCGTCCCCCGTACCTGCGAATCCAGAACCTGCGCAGAGTGTATGTTTTTTGTCCACACTTCGTCTGAGATTCTGAATCTCGCCAAACGCTTTGTGTTCATGTGAATGTGTATATGCTGTCGTCACGTAGCTGTGTTATCACACGCTCCCTACCACTTCTCAATTTAATGCCGGAATTGTGGCTCATAAAATAGGCATCCCGCGACGACTTGGACGAGATGAGCGACACTTTGGATCCATCCAGTGCAGTAGCAACCGCTGGTGCCAGTGGTGCAGGTTCAGAGGAAAGTGGTGATGCTACTGACTTAGATCCAATGGAGAGCAGCGTCTAACGGAGATATAAAGGAAGTGAACAGTTTTTCGGGTTCTTTCAGGGCTGTGGGAACTGCGGTTCCGAGGGAAGCATTGTGGCTTCAGTGCCGGTATATAGAATACGAGCAGCTTTATGATACCTTTTTAAGACGGCGCTATTACACCATTACACCATCGACAAAATTACCAGAGGAGAGCTAGCGGGTTTTGGAACCCGATTTGGCAAATTTATGCTACTTTACATGCAGTTGTATCCATAAATGACGTCAAAGCGCCCGGATTTTCTGCAGAAACATTTATTGCTCGCAGAAGACTTACCATGAAACGTCCAAATAGGCTTGAAAACAAAGCAAACCGTGTAAATGGCAAACACAAGCCTTCGCATAGGAAGTAAGCTCTACGGATATAAAGCTATGCATAATAGCTAATTGGAATATTGAGGATATGCATTGTA